AGATGAAGAGAGCACATCCAGTTAGTCACAGTCAGAGAAACAGGACTACACTGGAAAACAGGGCAATCTCCAACATCTAGAAACAAAGGTGTTGATGGCAGCAGTACAGCTGACTTTCCAGTTTCAGTAGGGATGTTTCTGCTGCTCCATCTTTCATTAACCAACAGCGGTCGATTGTTGTCCAACAGCTATTTCTTAACTGCTAATCTCTGAGTAATCATTGACAAAATTAAACTTGAGGAAAATGTATGCCAGTGGATAATAATGAACCAGAGACATTTTTGTATTTTATTTTAATGACATCAGCTTTGCTTGTTTCATGGGTTTATTTTTAAATAATTCTGTTGAAGCATGAATGAAAAGCAATGTTTGACTTTATATTGATAATTTTTATGTAATTCTTATTTATTATTATTACCATTGTGGGTTTTAGCATCATAACATGAGCAGTAACAACCATTCTGTGTATGCATGTTTGTAATATCAAAGCAGCTTCAGTTAAAGCATCTCACTCAGCTTTATTAAATTAAAGAAAGAAAAATGTTGTTGTTGCAGCTATGGAAAGCATTACCTGAAAATAACTTATGACAACAAAACAGAATATAATCACTTTGTTTCCTCAACCAGAGAAGGATAAAATAAAACTTAAAAAATCATTACTTTGAAGTTGTTTTCACACTGTAAAGCAATAATTATGAGATATTAATGGCAGCTCCAACAGCTACATTGAAAAAGGGGTTTATTGAATATTAGTAATGTTAATCTGATGTTACTCTGATTTCTTACAGGAAGATCAAATTATAAAACAGTGATCTGGTTATAGAATTAATGGATTATTAGTTGAATAGTTAAAACTATAGACTTTTTGCATCCCTCCCTGTGTTGTTTATGACATCTTCTGCGGCGAGACAGCTAGAACAAAGTTAGTGCACCTGTGTTTCATCAGAGCCGGGGATTGATCACTCTGTCTGTTTTCAACTTGCAAGAGTTTCATATGATTAAAGTGTCTGTATAATTATGTTTACTCTTCTCTTTTGTTAGCTGCATGCATTAAACTGCAATGTTCTTTTTTTCACCATTTACAGTCAAAATTGAATTTGATTCATTAGAATATAACTTTATGATTGAAACCCTAAAACATTTTGGTTTTGAACATAAATTATTAAAATTCTTCACTCAGATATTATCAGTTTCAAACCCCCAAAAGGAGCAAGCCCAAGATTTACAGTAAAGAAATCCATTAGACATTGGAGGGATTGACCTCTGTTACACATTACAGTCACCAAGCTCTTGAGAAACTCCACCATTCAGGGTCAGCGATTTATAAATCATAATATCATCATAGACAAGTTAGCAGATATTTGGAGGTGTTACAAAGATGCAGGTTCAAATCTAAAGTAAATGTAAGTTGTTTTTTTTTAAATCATATTTTTATTGTAAAAAACAGATGTACAATGCCATTCAAATTGTAGTGTTTTGCAGTTGTTACAATTGTTTTGACCATGTACAGTATAACAAGAATCAAACAGCATTTTTAACATTTTTATATTTTTATAAACACCATTCAACCCTAAAAACCCCTGTGCCGGCAGGAAAATAAAAATAACTAAATAAAATAAAATAAAAAATAAAAAAAGGAGATTGTTATCCCAAAATGAAAACACTTTACATTGAGACTTGTTTACTAGCGAGAAAGGAGATTTTTAAGTTTGTCAAAATAACCCAATAGAGGGTCCCATACTTTGTAAAATTTTTGGTTGATCCTTTTAATAAATGTAAGTTAATGATTTTTTCCTGTTAATATACATACAAAAACAAGCCAAACTAAAGCCTTAGTACTCCAGATGGAAATGAATCTCATTTAGAACTAGGTACTGTCAGACTCATGGATACATTCATAATAAATAACAGGAACCAAAATATAAACTTGATCCAGATTTCTATAACCTGCACAATCCCTGCTTATATATCCAAGAAATAAGAAAATAAATTGATGAAACATGGATTTAAACACCATTGTATACATTCAGAGAATTAAGAATACATTATAAAGGGAGAGGCATAAAATAAACAGATTTGAATATAATGAATGATGATTAAAAAAAACAGTCATGAGTGTTTGCTTCACTTTGCTCACAGGATATGTTGGGTTTTTATATTATATGACTATGAAATCTCTGAACAATCTATTAAATGATCTGATTGGTCAACAGAGTCTAATATGGCTGAATGAAATAACAAGGCTGGTTTACAATGAAGGGATTATATGTTCATGGAAAACCAAGATGAGAAGAAAATGCAGTCAAATAGGCAGAATCCTTATAAATTATAACATAGTTTTTACTTTAACACAATTAATTAAAGCCCGTTCTGGCACAGTCAAGAATTAGGGTTTATATAACTGAAATAAAATAATCCATGTTTCCTTATGATATGCATAGTAAGGGATGTATTTAGTAGTTATTTTATTCACCGTCAGGCAGATTAACCATCTGCCCCCTTATCAAACCCAGAGAAAAAAATAAAAAGTATAAGCTGGGGATTTCCTCGCCCATTACACAAACAAGCAAACAAACTCATAAAGACATAAAAAATGATGGAAAACATAGAACTCTGGGTTTAATGCTAAAGAAATTTAAATTATAATTTTACTTTAACCAGAAATTAGCTCCAACAAGATAAATTGACTAGTGTTGGTTTTTGTTTTAAACACCTTCATGAAACATCTAATTCATACTGAGGGATTTGATTTGCTAAAAAATAAATAAATAAATAAAATCCCTAAGAAAACATAAACTGACTGTTATGTAAAATGGGTTTTAAAAAAAAGACAAAAAAAAATTGAATGTTAGAACTTACTTACCTTATCAAGGCCGACTTTAAAAAATGAAATTGTCTAGAGCTTTTCTTAACTAAATTTGTTTTTGTTTACACTTGTGTGTACAAAATGACAAAATAAATCTGTCTAAGTCTAAAACATCTAAAATGTATTTAAAAATAAAAGAAAAAAGAGAGACAATTATGGAAAGGACACAGGCTTCTACATTAAATTGTAATTGTAAAATTATTATGTTATATCTCTATGGAGGTTTCTTCCTGTTCAAAGGGAGTTTTTCCTCTCCACTGTCGCTACAAGCATGCTTAGTGTGAGGGATTGCGTCAATGAGTCGATGCAATCAGCTGGTTTTCCTTAGATAGAAAACTTCTGGTTGAACTGGAAAGTGACCTGAGATGACATGTGTTGTGAATTGGCGCAATAGAAATAAACTGAATTGAATTATTATTTATTTATTTATTTTTTATCTAACTCTTTAAAGCTCCTCTCGAGTCATTTTTTCAATGGCTACTTTTTACTTTTACTTCAGCAAAAATATTATTAAGTAGTGCTACTTCTACTTAATTAGTAGTTTTGGTTACCTTGGTCAACCTTGGTTTGTCGTTGCTTATTGTTTTAATAAAGTTTTTTTTGAATCACATTGAACTACATATACCAGCCGCGCACGCGCTTTGGGTGTGGATGCCAGGTTTAAGCGACCAAGCCCCGCCCACTGCAGGCTTCCTCCCAAACTGGCAACACAGAAGGAGCCACTCTGCTGTCGTCACTCAGTCGGGAGGAAAATGGCGACCGCCTATGAAAGATACAATTTGTAAGTAATCTTCATTTAATTCGGGTTGCTACACTGTTAGCAGTTCTCCTCTCAGTCTAACGTTAACAACTACAGACACAGAAAACCGGCTTTTGAAGCTAAAGCGGAAGTTGAAGAGTGTAGGCTGAAGTTTGCTGACTGGATCGAAATGCAGAGCAGCAGTCAGTCAGTCAGTCCAGCTTCACCTTTCCCTCATTTATTATGAAACACACACAGAAGGCAGGGAGCGATGGAGACTGTCGGTCTGCTCCAGGTCTGCCTATCCCAGTAGAGCAGTCTGTGTTCCTGTCTCACTGTTACACTGTCTTCCGTGAAGCTGAGGGTGGTTCATTAAACAGCTGGCAGGTGTTGTGCCGAGAATTACCTCCTCTGTCGCGGGAGCGCGCATCGCCCTAAATTGAAATATCGATTGAAATCTGAAGGAAAAGAGAACTTTCTAACTTATTATTACTGTTTTCAGAAATGATATAGAATGATGTTGGTTGTCATCCACTGAGCAGAGAATTTATTCACCGCACACTGACTGGAGCACATCGAGTCTCCATACAAGTTAAAATCTATTAATTCAAATTTATCTGTCCACCAAAACTATCAATTTTAGTGCATCCATGCATAAGAAATATATTAAAAAATTAAGAATATGTTTAATAGTTCACTTTTTGTTCATATTTTTTCTCATTAATGTGCGAGTTTGGAGCGATGCGCGCTCCCGCGGCAGGGGAGGTCATTCTCGGCAGGGCAGGTAATTCTCAGCACAACACCTGCTTCAGTCACAGCTCACAGCTCGCCTCGTTGTTTTCTAAGCCTGACAACCGTTTGCTTTTTACCAGACACACCTTTCATTCACAATGTGAGTCACTCAGCCCCACCTGTTAGCCCTCTGCTTGAAGGTTTGGCTGCTTGGTCAACATGTCCACCTGGAAGGGTAGGGTTGGTGGGGGGGAACTACACCTGGTTCTGTTTTGTAAAATGAAACATTGCTTCTCTGGCAGGGGTGGATTTACCATTAAGCAATACTGTGCAGTTTCCTAGGGCCCATGGTTCCTGGGGGGCCCATAAAGCTCTGTTTAAATGTATGCTTAATACAACTATTCCTTGTTTATGCACATTAATTATATTTTTGGAAAAAAAAAATTTTTTTTTGGCTAAAATGCCATCAGAACGCTGATAATATTAAGTGTGTCTCAGCCCCCCCCTTCAGTGTCCACCATATTGGATCAGTCCATTTGCTGCACATGTTCCGACCAGACCTCGTCATAGCGCGGCGCCGAGGTCTGGTCGGATTCCAAGAGTCCTCGTTATGCGGCCTTAAAATGCGTCCTTCTTTTTGCCCGATTTGAAGGACGCGTCTGATGTATCCTCGGTATTCTTGGATATCCCAGGATTCATTGCGAGGCCAAGCAAGCCGTGATCAGAGGAAAGGTTACTTGGCGCCGAACAGTGGTGAAAATTGGAAGTTCAGTTTAATATAATACAACTCTGTGAATAGTTCCGTCTGAAATGAATGAAAATAGTTGTTTTAATGGTTATTGAGTCAGATATGTGGCGGTAATGTTTGATTTATCTAAAGGTTTTAATCTGTTACTGTGTAAATGGGTTTGGCTGTAATTTAAGGACAGATTCTAATATATCTGCAGGGTGGGGACTATAAATCTGATAGGATTTTTATCTTTTTATTGCTGTTTTGCTTAACTTCGTATTTTTTGTTGTTGAATTTTAGAGATTTTGCAGATATATTTTATAAATACATTGTTTAGATTTACGTATATCTTTCTACCCCTTTTACAGAATAGAATAGAAAATCCCTTTATTGTCCCACAATGGGCAAATTTACAGCAGCAGAAAGATTATTGAAAATGGTCACACAAATGTGGACCTTAGAAAAATGTATAAGAATAACATAATAGGGAAGAGTTAAAATATAAACAATAACATACTGTAAAGTGTTTTAACAATATAAAACTGGGGAATAAATAACTGACTAAGGTTTCTATCATTACATTTGATTTTATTTGTTCCTGCTCCCAGTGGTTGGAACCTTTATTCCATTCTGGATTCTTGTGAGTGTAGTCTTTGTTCACTTCACAAAAAAAAAGAAACACTTTTGAAAACTTCTGTTTAAATTCTTTTCCTGCTTTGTGTGTCAACGTTCACGGTTGCTAAGCAACAGAGCATACGGCGGTAAAACCCGCCGAAGGGTAGACCTGGTCGAATTCACAGCCTAAACTCTTCCGGTCTCCTTATTTTCAAGGACTTCGAAGGATCCAGTCTAGATAGACCGCGTCCTTGGAGGACCCGTCCTAGGTTTTCGAACAGAGCCAACATCTAAAAGCAGCGAACAACTTCTTCTTCTTGTTTTTAATGGCGGTTGGCAAACAACTAAGTGGTGCATTACCGCCACCAACCAGTAAGGAGTGTGGATCAAGACAGACATGCTCAAAAAAAAAAAAAAAAAAAACTAAATTCTTTTCGCTAAACCTGTAGCCAAAAAATAACGAAACATAATTCTATAACTTGAATCATAAATACTTGTTATTTGTCAGACAATACTTTTCTTTTTCCTTTGTCAGACTCCTTATCAATTGTGTTCTTTGTCTTTGAAACCTCCTACAGGTATACATTACGTGTTCTATTGTTTCATTTTCCCCACATTCATCACATCTTCCTGTTTCATGTTTTCCCATTAATCGTAACGTTGAATTAAGTCCTGTATGTCCCAACCGTAGTCTAGTTATTATCTTTTCCTCTATTCTGTTCCTCCCAATTTTTCCTCGAATTTCACCAACCTTCCTTTGTATTCTATAAAGCCATCTTCCTTTTATATCTTCTTTCCACTGTTTTTGCCAATCTTCTCGGATCTTTCTTTTAATAATACTTTTAACTTCTATTTTACTCATATCGATTCTTATATCAAAAAGCAGCGAACTCTGCTCTCCAGAGCAAGTAGATTGGTAACCCCGCCTCCTGCTCTCCTCTATCTTGTCTGCTGTCATGATTCATGCAGCTATTATTTCATCCAAATGAAAAATGGAGAACAGATAAGCAGATCATGGCTTGTCTACAGTCAAAAGAAGGACTGGGTTATTTACTTTGGCCTTTTTGGAAACACAGGAAGGAGCAATCAGCTAAGTGAGCTTAGTGCTTGGAAAAAATCTTTCATTCCTTTAGAGACAGCATGAAAAGTCAGCTGAGTACAAAACATAGAGAGGAAAACAAGAAGAAAAGGGACAAGAAGAGAGGGACACAACCTAGAACAGATAATGGATGTCTATTCTATTAACATTTCTATATCTGGAGAATGGGGCTGTTCTATGTATTGTCTTCTCAATTCAGAGGCCCCCTGCCTGTCTTTGCCTAGGGCCCCACATTTCCTAAATCCGCCCCTGCTCTCTGGACAGCTGAAGGTTTGTTTTTGCTGCATCAAGCTGTTCTGGGAGATGATTCAGTTTAGGAGGGTTTGAATCCAGTGCGTGTTGAGACTGGTCTAGATTAGCTAAGAGCAACAGTAAAGCAGCCTGTCTCATTGTCTTTAAACGCTTACAGCCTTTTAGCCAACGTTCATCAATGATCCAATCTGACCTAAATGTTGCAGAGATTAGATGCCTGTATGACCCCCCCGCCCTGTAAATCCAGTACTCCCTGCTGTACAGCCCTGTGCTGTCACCACTCCCTGATGGTCTAAGCTCAGTCCAGGCATGTTCGGCTCACGTTGAGCCGAAATATAACAGAAACTAATGGCTGTAAGGAAGCAATCATTCTGGTTTAGAAACAGTCGGCTTTCAGGAAAAGGTTTTTCTGTATGTTGGAGGTTTAGCTGATGGATCGAAGCTCTCTACTCCCGATAAAGACTCTTTGTTCGGGTCACAGACGTTGTTCAGCTCAGGAGCAGAATGGGCTGATTTGTTTCTCAGCTTAACGGCCATATCTGCTTTCAACAACTGGTTTATACTGGTTCTGGCCCAGTTCTGGTTTTAAGCACAGTAAAACAGAACTTTTTAGATTTTCCTTTTTGGCACTTCTATAATGATCAGCCACCAAACATGAACATCAAATAAAACAAGCACATTTTAATGATTTAGTCCCTTTATAGGCTAGTTTAGCTGGTTATCAGCTAATATAGTTCTCAGGAAAAAATAACCAGGTTGAACTTTATATCCAGCTGTTATGTTGATACGATAAATGCTTAAAAAAGGTTTTAATCCAGTGTTTATTTCACCCAAAGTTGAAAGCAACCTTCAGTCCATCAATGTGCAGGAAAATGTTTCTGAAACAGGCGGGGCTTCTTCCAGTCAGTTTGATCTACAGCTCTGGACTGATCCCCTGCTTTTTGGGTTCAGCCTGTTTTCCCAGTCATCCGGCTGCGTTCAAAGCGCTCCACCCTCAGTGTGTCGGTTCAACAGGAGCCGTCACCTAAAAGCACGTCCCTCTGGTGGTGAAACCAGCAGAAAATGGAGAAATAAAAGCAAAGTTATGACCTGTAAGGAAATGATGAATAAGCTTTGAGGTGATTTCCTGTTAAATGCTGCTCCGAGTCCTTCCATCTGTTCTTTGGAGAATCTCCTGTTATGAGTGTGTGTCTCCCTGTAGGCACACAACCCCTGAGAAGTTCTTCATCGAGGCGTGTGATGAGGGCGCCGACGCCGTCCTGGTCATTGACCGGGTTTCCAACGAGATGACCCTCACAGGTATCACAGCAGCCTTTCACACACGCCGATATCGCAGGATTTGCTTCCCTCCTTTTTATGAGCAAACATCACTTTTTCTTTTTTTTTTCTAAATGGCAGAGATGGCAAAAGTACTCACTTTCCATACTTGAGTAAAAGTACAGATACTTGTGTTAAAAATACTCTGGTAAAAGTGGAAGTACTGATTAAACTTCTTTACTCAAGTAAAAGTAACAAAGTACAGGCTTGTAAATTTACTTAAAGTATAAAAGTAAAAGTAGAAACCACTTTTTTCATGCCGTTGCCTACATTTTAAATGGATGTCTGTCAATAGGACTAGATCTCCGTTGTGTTCATTTTCAATCATCTCGTCGTCCATGCTACTATGCTAACGCCACCGCCACCAAGCTGCAATGATTTGCCGCCAATGAATACCGCCGAATCTGTCGATTCATCTTGTAGCGGTGCGTCAAATGCAACGTAGATTCCCATCCAATTAGATTGAATTTGGTATTGATGACGTGAAAAATAATAACGGTAACTCCATTGAAATGACTCAAAACTAAAGTAACGAGCCAATTTTTTAAAATGTAAGGAGTAGAAAGTACAGATATTTGTGTAAAAATGTAAGGAGTAGAAGTAAAAAGTCGCCATAAAAATAAGTAGTAAAGTAAAGTTAAAATATCAGAAAAATCTGCTTGAGTACAGTAACGAAGTATTTGTACTTCGTTACTTCCATCTCTACTAAATGGACATTTGAAAAAAATCCAATCCAGAAATTAAACTTTGGGGGAAAAAGAAGCTTAAAGTAACTCTGCTGTTTTCTTACATTTAAGAGATTTTTCAGTTATTTCATTTTGAGATGTTTTTAGATATTCTTCTGAAAAAGATTTTATAGATTTTTCGTTTATTTTTAAATTTCTCTTTTTCAGGAAAAATTATGCTTTGCGTATTTTAAGTTGCGTTTTACAGATCCCATTCCCCTGGTTTTTAGGGCAGGATTTCCTATGGCAGGGGGGGAAGATGCATCTCTATCCGTCTGCTGGACGTTAGTTTTTTGCAGTTAAGCTGAAGGAAATGTCTTCTGTTAAAGCTAATTTGAAAAGAAGGCAATTCAAATTTTAATTTTAAATCTGTAAAAACAAAAAGGGGAAAAATAAATGAAAGTAATTGATAAATAAAATCTGAGAAAAAAGGGTTGAGTAATATTTGAAAAATGCAAAATATAAAGAATAAAAGTAAACAGCAAAGTTACTCTAAACGCCGTTTTTGAAAGAAGTTTCATGTCTTGGTAGCTTTTTTTTAAATTTCTATTTATAAAAAGTGTTTTTTTGCAACAATAATGGAATAAAATTCACTTCATACACTAACTGATGTGTCGTTGCCAGAAGGTGAAGCTCTGTGACTGATGATCTGTTTATTACTGCTGCCTTAAATCTGTGAACGACTGACGTTTATCTGACAGCAAACAACATGAACAGAGTGGTACGTTCTGCTTCAACATGTTCACCGATGTGTTGGTTTCATAGGTAGGCAGGATGTCCCTCCGTCTGCCGTCACCAGACCCATTTGTGGGATCATGGGAACTATTCGCCTGGTTGCAGGTAGGAGCCTGATGTTAACCATGCTTGGTGTCGTTCACAATGATGGGGTCTGGACTGACGATGTTCGCTGCGCAGGGATGTACCTGATCGTCATCACCAGGAAGAGGAATGTAGGCAACCTCCTGGGCCACTCTGTGTGGAAGGCTGTGGACTTTGATGTGATCTCCTATAAGAAGACGGTGCTCCATCTGTCAGAGATACAGGTTAGCACGACTGTGTCTCGTTTATATCATCCTCCTATTTTCTACTCCAGATAATGACAGAAACGCTACTGTTAACGTCTGAAGACCTCCTGTGTTTTGGTTTCTGTGGATGTAGGAAATCAAATGGAAACTGTTCAGACCCAAATGAATAACTGTTTATTAACCAAGTTTATTTATGCTTTAACATCTGGTACAATATAAAGAAATAGATATAGTTATATAGATAACAATGTACCTTTAACATATAAACATAATTGGGCTAGAACAGGGGTCGGCAACCCGCGGCTCTTTAGCGTTCCCCTTGCGGCTCCCTGGAGCTTTTTCAAACATTTCTGAAAATCAAGTTTTTTTTTTCTTTTGTTTTAATATAGTGTGCAGGAGGTCAAACAAAAAAATAATGTTTTCCAATGCTGTAAACATTTGTATAATAAATAAATTTAAACAATAATTTGCGTCACAGCCATAGAGATCAGTGGTCATAACTTGCAACCAGCGCTGCACGATGCCAGGCTGCTGGAGTGTCTCCATGGATCCCAAAGGGGAAAAAGGAAGGTAGCTGATGAGAAAAGAGGATTCAAAGGATGGACCCAATCATTTTCTTTCATTATCAATGCAGAACGATTGCCTGCATTTTTGCTTGGTAATGAGAGGTTTGCAAAAAATAAAAATTTGGAAAGGCAGTTCCAGGGAAGGTAAGCTAAATATGCAGCCGACCACCAAGCTGGGAGGAAGAGAAAAAGTGTGTTTGCAGAACTTCTGGATAAATTAGAGGAGAGCAAATGTAGATTTAAGAAGTGGATTACATCTCCAAACTCCACTACTGCTGCTAGTTTGGTTGCAAGGATGGAAAACCGTCGACAGATTGGACAGGTAGAGCTCTGATGCAGGGATGGGAACTTTCTTCCATTTTTCCCCAAATCCTAAAAATATAAATCACACCAAGGAACGCTGGTGATGGAGGACGTGGGATTTCAGGGTTAGAGAGCTCTGCTCTGATGGATGTCAGTTCCTGCTTGGCTCCTCATGACTCCATCAGCTCCTCCCATCAGAAACAGTTCCACCATAGAAAGATTCCTTTATCGTGTTTCTATAATTTCATCAATGCAACAAAACTTAAACCGCGCGGTGAAAGGCGGTTAAGCGGCGCGCGGTGAAGCAACGTGCGATGGGAGCGTTCACTGCTCCTCCCTCACCTCAAGCTGCTATGTGACATTTGCTTGAGGATAAAGATTTAATCATGAATGCTTATTATATATTTAAGCCCACATAGTCATTTTCTATAGTGGGATAAAACACTTAGAGCCCGTGTTTCCATACGAGGCATGTATGAGACTTTGACATTTTTGCGGCTCTAGACAGATTTATTTTTTATTTTTTTGGTCCAATATGGCTCTTTGAGCAGTTTGGGTTGCCGACCCCTGGGCTAGAACAAACGCCAATATAGCCACATATATACTCCCATACAGAATACAAAATAAATAAATAAATAAATAATAAAATAAAATAAATAATAATAATTGGGTAAATAAATAGAAAAAAGGATCCCAAATGAAAAACTTTAGCTGAGTTAGTTTAGCTGCTTTAGGAAGAACATCTGCGTTGATTTAGGGTTGGGGCACCGCATTAGAGGAACGCTTGGAATAAATATTTAACTTGTAAAAAGCAAAAATGAAACAATCAACAGCTAGCTCACTCTGCTATGCTAGCTTAGACACGTGACCAGGATTTCACCGAAAGGCAGATCTGGGGTTTTGCAGGGATACAATCTAAAAACACAATCTACTGCCGGCACAGCAGCTGCAGCAGCAAGCACTAACGGTGCTGTAGTTTCCTTATAGCAAAGAGAAATGTTTTGGGAAAAGATCTCTTCTCTGAGAGTAATCGAGATAATTAACCATTAAGTATTTAATTTCACTTAGTATTTTTTAATTGAGTTGACTGTCAGATCAGTGGTTAATAAAGCAACATATTTATGCTGTTTTTTATTTCAGATGGAAAGAATTAAATGCTAAAATTAAAAGATCAAGTAAAATAGTTTTTATTATATATTCAGTTATTGTTTATTCCACTTTTGGACATCAATGCTGTTTACTGGGAGGGGTAGTCATGATAAGACAAAATGCCCAAACCTGAACACGGGTCCAAAAAGGTTAGGAAACATTGCCCTACGCTGGGGGAGAGGCCACGCCCCTAATGCACAGGAGCCAATTAGAAAAGGAGGCATCCTTTGAAGGACTCCGTCCACTGCTCCCTATACCCTGGGGGTGTGGCCACAAAGTCGTTATCTGCGTTCCACTGATGCTTCCTTTAGCCCAAGGCCCAAGTGATTAGTTTTGAATGCTAATAGTTGTTATGCTAACTGCTAAATGTTATTAAAGGGTAAACGATATATAAACATATAAAACTGATATTAATCATGGAGGTATTTTCACATATTTCAACGGTTTTTCTGTTGGATTGAAATAAATGGATTTCTCTTTCTAGAACAAAACTGAACAGTAACCTTAAAACGGTTTGCTTTCCTGCTTCAGTCTCAGGAGAATAAGACCTTCCTGGCGATGATTAACAACGTGCTGACTACAGACGGCTTCTACTTCTGCACTGACTTCGATCTAACGCACACGCTGCAGCGCCTGGCAAACACCAGCCCTGACTTCCAAGAGATGAGTCTGCTGGAGAGGGTAAGAGGCCCGTTACCTCACAAAGCTGTGAGACGGTTCAGAAAAGTGTTGGAAGGTCACAAAGTTTTAGGGTTTTTCCTTTCTTTTTTAGAGAAGAAGGACGCATCGGGGTTTCTTTCCTTTTCCCATAAAATCCCTAAAGGCAGCAACAATTTTCATTTTATCTGCGAGTTCTTTTGGATCTCTTATTTGGGCATGGAAAGTTTATTTGTATTCAGTACATGTACAATTCAAAGTGCTTTATGTGAATTAGACAATAAAATGAAAGAAAAAACCTAATCAAGACAAAAACATGATAAAAACGGATAGTAAAACAGATGTAAAACAATATTAAACTAATGATAGTTTAGCTTCAACGGTCAAAAATGTAACTTTCAGGCTCAAAACATTTCTTGCCTTTCCTTCACAGACTTCCTTTCTTAACTATTTTCTCTTCTCTAAATTAAATTTTTCCAACTGTTTATGCTTTTTATGCATACAGTGCAAATCGTGCATTGGATTAAACATTTATGGAGGAGGTCAAACAGGAAGTGAAGCTGCTTCCTCTCCTGTAGCGGCTAGAAGGTCAAAGTTGACCCGTGTATTTGTTTACTGAGAAGATGTAGTATTCTCATTTATTTAAACTTCTGGTTTACATGTGAAGTGAGGTTTTAAATAGTCTTAATATATAAAATTTGTTTTTATTTGGTGAGAATGGTTTAAAAAGTTGCAGATCCTCGTTTCTTATCTGGTTTCCTGTGGATTCCAGGCAGATCAGAGGTTCGTCTGGAACGGTAACCTTTTGAGGGAGCTGGCCGGCCAGCCTGAGGTAACAGCTGTCATATGGCTTCTCTGTAACCCGTTATGCTCGCACTGACTAACTCATGCTGTCTCTCTGCAGCTGCACAGGTTTGCACTGCCTGTTATCCATGGATGTATCCTTTGCCCAAAATGTTGTTGAAAGACATGTGATCAAACGGTGGTTCGGGTTTTTCTTTGACGCTCCTGCTCCAGTCATCGTCATGAAGCCGTGCCGCATAAATGGGAAGATCTTTGAGTGGATCCTCATCTCCAGGAGAAGCTGCTTCCGCGCTGGCGTCAGATATTATGTCAGAGGTAAACATTTCATCCCTGCAGACCGTCAGCAGTGAAAAGACTTTCTTTCCTGTCTTTTTCAACAACAGAACAAGATGCAGGTGATTGTTCTTTCTTTGACAGCAGAGAAATGTTTGTCTTGACAGGCATCGACTCTGAAGGCCATGCTGCTAACTTTGTGGAGACTGAGCAGATAGTTTTGTATGAAGGAGCCAAGGCTTCATTTGTGCAGGTAGGTTTGGTCAAGGATAAAGTGTCGAACGGTTTTCTGTGGGAAGGTAGAGAAGAACTGCAGTGTTTGCTTTCATCCACAGACACGAGGTTCTATGCCGTTCTACTGGAGCCAGAGACCCAACCTGAAGTACAAACCCAAACCAGTGATCAGCAAAACCATGAACCACGTAAGAGACGCCCTTTTTCCCTGGGATTACGTGGAAGAAGTGAGAATCTGATGGTGTTTTTCTGGCCGTTTACAGATGGATGGTTTCCAGAGACACTTTGACTCTCAGCTGCTGATCTATGGAAAGCAAACTGTGTTGAACCTGGTGAGGAGCTTTTTTAATGAAACGCAGCCTGGCTGAACACACGCAAAGCTCATTTAGATGCTGTTGTTCCAGGTGAATCAAAAAGGCTCAGAGAAGCCGCTAGAAGAGGAGTTTGCCAAGATGTCCTCCGGTCTAAACAACGGTTTGCTTAAGTAAGTGTCCTCTGTTGATGATTCTGAAGATCCTGACATGTTTTCTGATATCAGATTCTGATGTTATTTAGCTCACAGGTCCTTGATCTGTGTGATTATTTACATTAAAATCAACTCACTGAAATTAAATCAAATATATCTATCACCTTACAGGCATCAGACATTTAAGCCCAAAGCAGTTTTTTTCACATTAAAAACAATAATAGCTCACCGTTACTTTAAGTGTTCTATTTTTCTCAGAACTTGAATTTAATTCGCTAAAGTGGCCTTTTCTCTATTAAAATATTTTCTGCCTGTGCACCTGGTGTTCTCCATGGCCATTATGGCCACTGTTACCAGCATAAAACAGCTGTTGTACTCTGTGCACAGCATTAAAACATTTTGGCTTTTCAGGTAGTACCTGAACAGCTGACTTTCATTTCATTTAGGGCTGCAACTAACAATTATTTTAAAAATCGATGAATCGGCCGATTATTTTTCCGATTAATCGATGAATCGGACAAAAAATATTTTTTATATTAACCTCTTTATTCCAAAATAAACATTTTAGACAGAACAAACAAGCACACAAGTAC